AAGGACTCTAAAAATTCTAGAGTTAGGAAACAAATGCTAAAAAGTACAAAAATATTAAGAATGATAATGACAATGTTGATAATGGTGATATGATGGTATCATATTTAGACTGCTGATCTTTATGCCAAACAAGAAATAGAAATCAAATAAAAATTCCATTCTTTCTTGAACATTTTTAATGTATCTAGTGCTTGAAATAGCACCTACTCATTTTGATCACAAATGCATAAAATTCGCAGTAATGATGATGATGATAATGATAACAAGCGTGCAATTCGAAATAAAAAATTGTTATATCCATTCATAAATCTACTATGAAATACAGGAACTTCAAGACTTGAAACTAAAAAGATAAAACATTAATATCGAAGTCTTTTACTTACAGTAACAGATTCTTCGCCTTTATTTCTTTTTGCAGGATCCAATGATATTTTTGGAACAGGCATATTATGACCCTTTATCCAAGCTGCTGCATTGTTTTGAGCAGTGCATCCTGTTGTATCAGGGTATATGTCTGCATGGAAGTCTCTATATGTCTACAGAAATGTTTAAATTATAATATAATCGAGGAATAGAATAGAATTAGAACAGACGAATATGCTTACTTTTCTTGGAACTTGATACATGATAGGAATCACCATATTGGAAGTGAGCTGCAATAATCTATTAACTTCTGCTTGCATAACGTTTAGCGCTCGTTTCGGCACCAAACATACACCTTTAGTTTGTTCTCCGCTATGACGAATTCCTTCGACTAAGAATGGATCCTTATCCATCACTTCCATGTACATAATAGTAGTATCTCCTTTTCCAGCAAGGAAAAGCATGTTTGTGTCAGGATCGAATAGGGGCATTAGAATTCTATAAATCACAATTCTTATAAGTTATCCGAATCGATTAAAACTCGTAACAACACATTATTCGAGTCTTACCCGGTACTGCAATCTAATTCCAGCGTTTTCACAGGTTCGTTCAGATGCCTTAAATCCCTTATATAAACCTGCCTGAGTCTCGCCGCGTCGAATCCTGTAGTTAGTATCCTGTCGCTATTGTTCAGCCAAACAATTCGGGAGTCTTTGATACTTTGATGACTCGAGCATGAATTAACGATGCAAGAAGCAGTTCGGGGATCAATAATCCTCACTTGCTTGTCTTTACATGATGTTGCTAAAAGTACACCATCTTGTTTCCAACTTAGAGATTGGATGACTTCTGTGTGTTCATTATTAGCTATATAAAAAGAGAATGTTAAAAATACATTGTAGATATTATTTTAGAATCTTAATATTTGTAGAAAAATGTTCATTACAGAATAGTTCTTGCTGTGAAATCACATCCCACAAAGACAGGTTTGTGTATGACACTGTTGTGAGAAGGTGTTCAGCTGCAGGGTGCCAACACACTGCTTCTACTCTTCTCTGACGATGGGAGAAGGTACATTCAGGATTGCATAGAGATTCTTCCAATCCAGTTTCTGGAATATGCCACAGCTTCACCTATAAATCGAAAACATTAAAATATTTATTTCTTGAAATAATAAGTTAAAATAAATTAAACTCAGCTCTTTCTTACAAGACAGTCTTGAGAACCAGTAGCTAATAAACCATCGTGAAATGGAGAAAAATCCATGTCAGTCACTGTATCAGCATGAGCATGAAGTAAAGGCATAGTTTTACTTTTTCTACCACAATCTTCCAGTGGTAACACAGCAAGACTAGATCCTACGAACGATATAAATGTAAAAATAAATCAATACATTAAACTAAAATACAACACGATTAAGAACCGTACCATTATGATCTACATTGAATGCCATGAAAGCAGCAGATGCAGCAATGTTGTTGCCATAGGTCTGATAAGACCCAACCGATATATCCCGAATACAAGCTTCTGGTTTGGGTACAATCGGAACTGCATTTTTATATTTAGATGCTTTGAAACGCCAAGCCATTGTGACGTTCTCACAGATACGAACTTAAAGTTGATGTCCACTTAAATCATGTAATCTAACAACAATAGAACGAATGTAACAATGTAAACAACAACGTTAAACAATTTTCTCGTTTTGTGAATTTAATAAAAAATAATCGAAAATTGTAAGTGAACAAATTTGACATTGCCAATTTTCGTCTAAATATAGTAGGAATAATCAACGTTTGACAACGTAGTTTGGAAAACAACGCTAGTAAAGGGTATCGGCACTGATGTAAAGCTGTGCATGACTAATAATTTGGGGGTGAGAATCACCCCACCCTTAATCGTCGTATACCTTCGTAAGTAATAACATTGACAGTCGACCGGTCTTTTACAAGCGAAAAATCACATAAAGAGGATCGTATTACTTACTTACTGCTGGCCGGCGTGTCTTCGCACGCTTTTCACTAAATATTATCCAGCAATGAAATCGAACGGGTATGAACAACCAGTATAAACACACGATGGCAGGTAGGCGTCTCTGATCTCAACGTCTGACAGGCGGAAACAGGAAAACCCCCCTCCCAGAGACTTCTTCTATCTCTGTCGATCATAATGTACAGCATATACATACATACAGTATGTACGCATGTACATTGTACGCTGTGGTGCTTTTTCAGAAGAAACACACGCAATTTTAATCAATCCTATTCCAAATTTTTGTTAAACTTGAAGTATTTCAATACAAATTGACTTGCTAAAATTTCTTAAATAAATTCTTCAAAGAAATATTTTGTTGACAAAAATAATTAAGATGGAAAGTATCAATAAACGTAAACGTTATTTGTAAAGATTACAGTAATTATTCTATAAACCAATAGAAGCAACCGATGATATTTTTTATTAAGGAGTATATTGTTAAAAGCAGAACAGAACATAGAAATAGGCATAGTGTTTTATCAAGTCACCCTGTACATACATACATATTATATACACTATGGACAATACAGGTGTATACGGAGAAGCTACCTTCCTTTCGAAATCAACTGCGAGTACATACTGAGAATGTTTCGTTCTCTCCATTTCAACTACATACATGTATACTAACATCTATGGAGGAAGGTAGCGATGATTTTAGCGTCTATATGTTATCTATTCTACAAACAATTTTTACATAAACTTCCTATACGCATATTCCAAACATTCATCAGTGAATGTGTTAATGCTTATTAAGTTGTTCGCCTGATAATAGAGATCCGCGTTCGTTCGCGCAGGCGTGAAATAGAGATCTCTGTTTGGATATTTGAATACGAAAATATTGTGTATTTACCTTTAAAGAAGTTCTTACAAATAATGCTTTCCAGAGCATTTAAATTACTATGGCACAACTACAGCTTTTCATTCTCTCAGTAAAGCTAATTGTAATAATGGAATTACTTTTAAAGAAGATAAATCTGCTAAAACGGCCTGTAAAAAAGAATCGTTTTTATTGAAAAATTATAATCTAGCCAATCGCAGTTTCCTACCTCTACACTTTGTAAAGTATTGACTTGCATCAAATTTTCCTTTCTAAAGCTCAAAATGGCCACTGCAAGCAAGGGGATAATTTCTAAAGAATCGTAACCTAGAATTAAGTCCCACAGATAAAGCAATTGTTCTGGAGGAAGGTGGCCGCTAAAACCTCTCATGATCCATTTGAAAACAACTTTGATTCTACGAAAATCAAAATTAATTAAATTTCCTATTGTTGAATTCGCAATTGTAGACGAAATAGTCGAACTTACGGTTGGATATGGCAGTTTCTAAAATAAACCCACAGAAGGGGTTCATAACACTGAAGAGATCTTTCAAAAAGGAGACATAACGCAACTATGCCTTGCTTATGATTGGATACGGTGTGTAAGCGGAACCAATATCGCAAATAAAACGCTCTAAAGGTAAAATACATTGCGCAAGGGTCGTCGTAAAGATAACAAAATGGAGTAGCTGTCGGATGAAATATTAATTAACTATTTCAAATATTTTGAATACTTTCGAACGATTATGAATGTTTCTCTTTCAATTTCAATGCTCACTCACACCGTACATTGTAAATCCATGAAAGGGAATTACGCCGCTCGGTGGAAATACCAAAGTGTTCTCCAATGTAGCTGGTTTCCCTTGTAAAACCGCGTGTATCACTTGCCCGCCCGCGCTTTTGTCAGTGGTTACAGGCGCCAATACCTCCGAATCACGTGAAAAACATAACATTGTTTTATACAAAACATCCTCAAATACGAAGTACTGGTCATCATTTCTGGCTGTTAATTGTACATCCTAAAATAAAAGAAACAAAAATATATTAAAAATCATTATAAACGAACGGATTACAATTTATATCCCACCTTTATTATTAAGTTATCTATAACTATATCGTACTGTAGTACCATGTTTTTTAATTCTTCGTAATATTCTACATCCTAGAAAAACAGTAGAGAGTTATTGTACAATTAAAAAAATATCAAGTATTATCGTTACATTTTCTTTCACTATGGATCCCAAGACAAGAGACCAAAGACGTCCGCGAAGCGATCGAGGTGCGCCACGCTTCAAGAACTCTTGTGCGATCGGAGCGTGATTGGATCGCAGCACTTTTTCACCAAGATGGATCCTTTCTTCTTCTAAATTCGCATAATTCTCAGAACTCTGCATATCTGGATTGACTCCCAACATCGGCATTCCCTTGGCAAGCTCCGTGTACACGCGCCTCTGTTACATTCAAATATTCTATAATTTCCTAACAATCGTTGAACCTCTAAGTAATTGGTTATTAATATTTTCGATTAAAACAATTAAGGTCAAACCAATTGAGCGAGAGTCTTCACGCGAATCTGTATATGACTAAATTCCCAATTCAATTCGTCTCTGAAACAACATTAACGTAATTATAAGAAGATTTGTTATACTGGACATGATAATGATACTGATAACAATAGTAGCAAGAGCAATAATATTAATTGTCATTATCATCAATATGTACGGCTGTCTTCTGAAAACAGGATTTCGTATGGCAAATAAAACATCCAGAAAATCTTTCGGAGCATACAGTGGTCTGTATTGTGATAAATCTAAAAATAAAAGAATAAACGAAGAGGATTAACAATGCAACGATGTTCGTATACAGAAATTTGTATAACGATACTTTTCGTTTACCGATATCGTATGTGCTCAGTTCGTTCCATTTTTCAGCCAATTCCTCGCGGTCCTCTCTCGGCCGAATACGAGCTAAAGCGACATTTAATTCGTTGCATGTAGAATTCAGTGATTTCTGTATACGGCGCTCCCATTGAACTTGAGCTTTTTTTAAAAAACTTAAGTCGCTAAATTCCTCTGGTGGTGGCGGCAACAAAGACAAGGAGCTCTGAAAACATTTGCTTTATTTAATAAATGAAAACCCAAATACGTATAAAATAATTTAAACTTTCGCGCGGCCGGCTTTACCAAACGAGTTTGGAACTGTGTAACTCTACAATGTTATACGCCAGGGCTCAGAATAAGCTGCACATGACAAAGACAGAGATTGACTTTGAGAGACATGAGAAAGACAGCATTTTCGGTGACTGCTCTGAATCATGCTGCAGAGTGGCATCATCCAATCCCATTTGTGATTGGATGTTATTGTGATGTTATTTACAGTTAATTCCGAGTCCTGTCATACGCCATACGCGATGCAAATAAAGAATATGAAATGTATGAAAAGTTTGGAGAAATCTGTGTTACGAACTTGCGATCTTGTCCAATGGAAAACTGTATTTCGAATTTCTGTTTCGAGACCGTTACTTTTCAAAGCTTCCATTAACGTGTTTTTAAAATCACCCCTCTTTACCGCCGTTGATGCTACGAGTTTCTGCAAAGATTAGTTTATAAGATTACAATTGAAATTTTTTTAGATATTGTCAAGAACTTGCTCATTCAGCATCGGCTTACCTGAATTTCGATGTAAAGACTTTTGTAATTAGCCATGCTTTGTATTTCTTCCGTTAACCTTTCAGCAGTTCTCTTCTGTACCGTATCCTCATAGTCCTCCGTATTCTCCGACATCACGACGAATTTCAACAGATTTTTTAATAAATAGAAAGACTTCGAATCAATGATCTGAAAACAAACGCCATTTGTAAATAAATTCGTTTCCGCGGCAGTAGCGGTAATCTTATAGTAATCTTGAAGCGTATGATTTTTGGTTACGTACTAAACTTTTATTATTATTTCGCCTGTGCTGTACACATTATTGCACATTATTTTCCTACTTCGTGGTTTTTTCTCCAATTTGAATAAAAACTTGAATCATATCTTAAAAGAAAACTGGAAATTGACAAAGCAACTTTTCGCGCGAACTCCTCAAGTTTGAGAGTGTGCTTGAAATTATTTTCTAAAGCTTTCTTTACCAGTTTGCTGCTTCTTTCCGTTTCGATTACACGATTAGTGGTTTTCAGAGAAAGATTAGGGACTTTTTATTTAACATACCGGACTTTCTACGATACGATGCGATTCGAATGAGCGAATGAGTATGAGTCCATACCAAAAATTCAGGTTGACGCGCTTGCAGGAAAATGGCGGCGCGATAACCTGTGTTTTGAAACGTTTTGTTGAACCTGTCCGTGGTAATTGTACACGTTGACAATGGATATCTCCAGTATGCTCGAAGTACAAGTAAACGAGGTGAAGGAGGTGAAGAGTAAAGAGAATGGTGAAATCAGGAATCCTTTTTAAACAATTTCTGGATTTTCTCGGTACATCACACCTAACCTTATTTCATTTTGCAGTTACTCCGAAAGTTCTGCTTCCAACCGCGACAAATCTATCGTCACCGATCTCACAGGAGGAAACCAACTATTATAAAATTATGTTTGGTAGCGGTAAGCATCCGACGTTCCATAATAACTTTCTTGCCGATATATTTCCAATTTTGCAAGGTATATCCATCATGATAGGATTTTGTATGTTCACTGAACTTAATTTTTTCGCACGTTAATAATTCTTTAAAAAATAATTTAAAAAAGGAAAAACGAAACGGGACACCCTTTTAGAGAACGAGGTCACGATTTAAAATAAAGTAAAATATTTTAAAAAGAATGAAATACATATAAAAACAGTCTATACGTATCCTGGAGATCTGAATTTCAAATCATTTAATTATATTTATTTTTGACCTGATCATTATTGAAGTAAATGTGTTATAAGCCTTTTTAACATGGTATATTTGTGTCTTTTAGACACTTCCATAGTACGGTTTCGAAGATTACATTGTACAGCATGCGATGTTCATATTGGATCAGCACCAGGTGATGCTAGTAATATGTTTGAACACCCTACATTGCATACATTATTGTGCTCCAAATGCCGTGATTTCTATGGAGATGGCACTTTCGAGCAAGGTATCCGAATTGTCAAAGTATTTTTACAATATCGTAAAATTATATACTACGTCCTCTATATTATTTCCTTTCACAGGTGACGATGCTACAGACATGTTTTGTAGATGGTGTGCGAACGGCGGCAACTTATATTGCTGTTCCTTTTGCAGTAACACTTTCTGTTATAAATGCATCAAGCGAAACATCGATCCTGTACTGAGGAAAAAGATAGAAGCGGACGAGCAATGGAAATGCTTTGTATGTGATCCAACAGATTTATATCCTGCTAGAGCAACTTGTTGGGCTTTGTTACAATATGTTCAAAAGATGAATAGGTAATTGAGCAAATCTTTGAATAGCAGCAATTCAAATTGCATTTACAAGGATCTGTTTCGTCCGTTTTTTTTTAGATCTCTCCAGAACGACCGTAAGTTGAACCAACAAGAAATTGACGAAAAAATGAGTTTAGATGAAACGAATTGCTGTCCGCGGAGAAGAAAACGAAAACGTCGGAGAACAGGTTCTAACTCGGAAGAAGAAGACGAGACGTATCTGCCGAAGCCAGTGGGTATACCTCCGGCCACAAGAGGCAGAAGAAGAGGACGCCGTAGGAAATTCTTGAATGGTAACACCACGACGTCCGTCACCGGTCAGTCGTACAGTGGAACAGAAGAAAATTCCATGGATCATGACATACCGCCGTCCTTGCTTTCGTGCGAACAAACTATGGTAGAAGGTGAAAACGAAACGGTTAACACGGACGGTACAATCGTTCCACAGCCTCCACAGCCACCGCAGAATCTGTTACCTAGACTAGAGCCCAAACTTGTCCCGCAGCCGCTGTATAACGCCATTGTGAACGTAGTCGCATCGAACTTCTTACAGCCTGCTACTCCTCTGGTACCTGTGCGCCATGTGCACAACCCGATTGGCCAAGTGAACTTGTACCAAGCGGTGCAGTGCACACAGACACCCATGGTGACGATACCCAATCAGAGCGCCGATATGTTGAATCGATTAAGTTTTCCTTTAACTCAACCGCAAATTGCGCCTACACCGCCTACTTCGAACGTTATAGAAATTGAAAGCGACTCTGAAGATATAGCTGTTGTCGGTCCGTCACGTAACTCGCGTTCCTTCAGAGATCACATCGACAACAACAAAGCGGTACCTGTTGCCTTGGTGAGCTCTAAAAGCAGCGGGTACATCACTGTGAAAAAGTCCGAGCTCACTTCAGAGAGGCGAAATCCCAAGACCCTTAACCAGAGGTTATATCCCCACGGGCAGGAGATCGACAGCATCTTGACGGGCCTGAAGAACAAGCTACAAGAATTATTTGAGACATCCAAACAGCAAGAGCTAAAACGATACGAACTGAACGATGCCCGCGGTACGATAAAACAATTCCACAAAGAGATCCGCGATGCGGTGTCTCAGCTGGCATCCATTAACGATAGGATAGTGCGCGAGTACAACCGGTGGAAACGACACCAGCTGAAGACGGGCGCCCTTTCATCTGCGGTTTCGGAAAACGCCTCGAATAATTCTCTAAACAAAACAAGTACGGAGGAGTTACCTCTCGACATGGTTTGCGTCAACGAATCTGGTACCGAGGACGATAACAGTGATTTTGAGAACAATATTATTATAAAACCGTCGGAGTTCATTGGCATCACGAACGTAATCGGCGGGACGCAGTCTTTCAAGAAAAAAGGCCCCCTGGCACCTTCCGCGGACAATGAACATACCTCGTTAATAGACAAAGCTGTACAGGTATTTGACACTGAATTGGAGGACTACGACAAGAGAATTAGGCATTCGTCTCTAAAAAAAGCTGACCAAGGATGTGGATTAGGTTCAACGCGCGAACAGTTTGAGAAATACGAGGAACAGTTTATTTACTACTTACAAAATCGGATCGATTCGGAAACTGCACTGTACGAGGAGTCCAAGGATCTACCTGATCCGAACGAGACGCCGTTGAAGGATTTGATAGAAGCTAATTCACCGTTTATTTCAGAAATGTTAGAGACCATGGATAAGTCTGTGAATTCCAATGATGCTAGTAACGAAAAATCGTTGGGTAAACAGAAGGACAATGATCCAAAGGCAACTGTCCTGCAGGAAACTAATTCTGTTGTGGATCAGTCGCAGAAACAAGAATTTAAAAATGTGGTCAATAGTATGACTACCGATTTAGGGAGAAAAAAGGACATGAAAAACGATTCTACACCTGCGACAACTGCACACAAAGAAACTAAATCGCGTGGAAAACGTGTCTCGAAAAGTGACGACAGTTTCGTGATAAACATATCCGCGAAGGATACAAGCACGAATAATTGCACCGCCAAGAAAACCACGAACAACAAAGAAGATGAATGTACTATTCTTGACGATTAAACAATAGTTTATAACAATTTTCATCGATTGAATTTCATCACTGAAACACTAATCGTTTGTTTTTCTTTCCAATCTGTTTTCCGATTTTCAGTTTTTCAAGTGCTTTGTTATCTTAATATTTCTGTTTATTCTTAGTAATCGATATTAAGAAATTTTTGCTGCATTATATATAAATTACAAGAACGTGGATAAAGGCAGCCAGCACATTAGTATGTAATTTAAAAACGTCTAAGCCTGACGTCCTTTTAAATCCATGCGCGACTCGACTCGTTATTGAAATTCCAATTGACTCAACAATTTTTTTTATACAAGAATGTAAGGTGTTTGTAGGGCAGACGTTTGTTCACTAATTCCTTAGGTAACTATAATGAGGAATATGAAACATTCGGATATAATATAATGACACAGCATGCGTGTCGATGAAACTACCGTTTTTATATATATATTGTGTGTGTGTATATATATGTATATGTATATATACATATATATATAAGCATATTTCACATTCTCATTATCTGTTGTACATAAAACGTACATAAAACGTACTGTGTAATGTAGGATAATGTAAAAAGTTTCCGAACTTAGTTAATAGAATCTTCTGATAATTTTAAGTTGCATCTCTTCGCGTACTCCGTACGACATAAGCTTTGTTTTACTAAGAACCTCGTTTTTTAATGCTCGTTCTTCATTTATTTATATATAATGTTCTCTCTGTAAGACGTAAGACTGCACATTTTGGAAATTCATGTTTCCTGAGAAATAGGAGTGACGTTATTGCGATAGGAATTACTAAATCCAATAAATTTCCAGAATTTATATATAAATATGTTGAATACGAATACTTAATATTATACCTACAGTTATTAGGTAAAGTCTGTATAAATGATTGATTGTGAATGAGTGAGTATAACCGTTCAAACGGCAGTGATTTATGGTCCTAAAAAGTACATTGTTTTGTATGATCTACGTTAGATAACTTATAGCCTAGTAATTATATTTCGGGCTATAGCGAGCGAAAATTTCCATGATATTCGCAAGTTTGTCCCTTCATTTCAGATGAATCAAACTCTACTCAAATAAATTTATTACACAAACTGACATCCGCTGTAATTTTTTTTGCTTCTTCAGTAAATGGTTGTCATAATTTGACAACATAATACGTAAATTATCATTTACAATTACAGTACAATTTGTAAGTCGACTGCGGAACTTTATGCATGACCAACATCCACTATGGTTGATTTATGAATTAAGAAATTTGTATAAACTTCCACAGTTCACTCAATAGCATAAATTTTTTAGATTTTGGTTGATTTATTTATTTATTTCACATTTGCTTTGTTCTTCCTGTATACATACAACGATCCCAGAATTCAATATATTAATTTCTCTTACTTGTCGAACGAAGTTTCATCCTACGCAGACGATGAATATTTCTTAGTACATATATATAATATTATAGATATAGTACAACGAGTCCGTAGAAATTTTTCTTTAAAAACAGTTTGAACACGCAACACTCTCAAAGTGATCGCAGTCTAAGCGTAGAAAACAAACGGAGTCCAAACAATTATGAAACATTTGTTACTATTATTTCGGAAATTATAAGTCGTTTGCTTGATGTTCCTTCTACTCATCAAAGATTGACCTCCATTTTAAAAAGGAACTGATTTATAAATTATCTGTTATACAAATAAATACGAATGTTTTTTAACATTCCAGTTATTTTAAGAATAAAGCAACTCTTAGAGATTAACTGTTGCATTTAGAATCGTGCATTTTCCAAGATAGTTAAGAAATAAAAAGAAAAATTCTAGACGAGCATGGTTCGAAATTTGAATAATCCCACCTCGATTTATAGTCTCCTATTGGTACACGTGCAAAATTCGTACGAACACTTTAGAGTAGATTTGAGCAAATAAATCCTTGGTCACTGCTTGTACGAAAACAAATTAATAGTGTGATATCAAATGGTGGCGCGATTTATGAACGGTAGAAAAATGTCCAAGTATGCGCTACTGGAAAACTGTACTTTCATAATGCATCACGTAAAATAATAATTCTTTTTTCCCTTTAGAATTGGAACAAACAGTGTAGTCACTAGCACCGTAACATGACATTTAAAGTGTCGTTGACGTCTCTCTCTCTCTCTCTCTCTCTCTCTCTCTCTCTCTCTCTCTCTC